ACACACACACACACACACACACACACACACACACACACACACACACAAGACAAAATAGGTTTTAGAAAGAGATCAAGGTTTTCCATAAACTTTTGAACTCACCAGGAACATGCACAGGAGGGCATTGATGAGGGATGGGGTTGGTCAAGCCGTTCATGTCTCCTGGGTTCATTATTAGATCGCACAGCTCGTGTTATTATCTCTAACATTATGTATGCCGATCACTTCATTGTGTTTGCCACCGGATTCCAAGGAATCATTTTTATGGGGACCTGTTCTACACTTTTTTCCCCCTCTGTTTCCTGACGAGCTTGTCTCTTTGGGTATAAATGAAAACACTGAAAATTAATTTCTTGAAATAAATGTTTCAAAATTAAAAATTAATTAAAAAATTAAATTAAAAAAAAAAGAGAGAGAAAGTGGAGAAGGAGGAAGAGGAGAACATCGAAGTGAGAAGATTCCTAGTGGTGATTGTCAGTTACGAGTTGGCAGGGTTCCTTCCTTCTTCTTCTATTTTTTTTTTTAATAACATAAGTGAAACTGCACTGGGGTGGGTCTGGCTGCGTCTGCCCTGTGCAGAATCACTTGGGAACTGTCCAGCAAACTATCTCTTGAAGAACAGCATGGTGTTAATACCGGGAGCCAGCGCAAGGCAGAGACAAAGGACCCCTTTGCTCTTCACCAATAGGCCAACTGTTAAAAGATTAAAGTGTTGTGGAGATAACAAGAATTTAGGCGCTGGCAGCAGGTGCTTTACAAAGAAGCAGTTGGCAGCGTGGGTCTTCTGTCTAATTCCAGTCAAAACAATCTCCTGCCCAGATACAGAGGGGAGTTTAGAGTAGGATGGCAACTCAGAGTGAGGAGGTTGAGGAGGAGTGCTGCTTTAAACACTGAACCCTGCGGAGGATGGCTTAGCAGAATATAGTTTAGCATTGTTCAGAACCCGTGGGGGATTCCCTGCTAGAGCCCAGCCTGGCTATCTGGGGAAATCCACAGCCAAACACTGTGAGTCAGATCTGCTTATGTGCTGAGAAGCGACCACAAAGGGCGTTTGAAACTTTCATATCTTCACAGAAGAATCCTACGACATTTTCCCCTCGTAAGAAAGATCTCTCTTTTCTTACAGAATAATCGTTATAATGTGACCCTCTGTGATTGCTTGAACAACTTAAAATATTGCCTTATGAATTATTGTTTAATTTGTATATTAAAAAGCGTGTTACTCAGTAAATATATAGTGTCGTTGAACTTGTAAACTTTTTGCCATCAGAAAGTAAGTTAAATCATTATTAAAGTAGAGCCATTTATCATGCTAAAAGTGTATGTTGGCATAGCTCTATGAGCCTATATATATATTGCTATTTAAAAGCTGTAATTACTTGAGAAAAATGTTCCTATAATTTAGGAAGTAAATTTTATTAAGTGTGAAATAACAGAGTTTCTACAGGTGACATGAATGGCTAGGAATTAAATAATCAAGTCTACACAAGACATGCTGGAAGGTGCGAAATGCCTTCTACATATATAATGTGATAAACAATGCAGGTTGTGATCTGATAATGATCCCAGGAGATGTGGATGGCATGCCTCCTCCATCAAGCTCAAAAGTCTCAGTTAATGTGGTTTTATTCTCAGGAGAGCATCTGACTCCTGTTCACTCCCCCTGCCTTTGTTGTCTCTGTAGGTCTCTGATGTCTCCCCATGGGATTATCAGCCTTACTAAAACCTGCTGTGATCTAGACCTTGGTGAAAGCGTTCACCGTCTCCCTGCTGTTTGCCCAACTCTGTGGCCTTCACCTGATGCTTTCTGTAGTTTGGCCAAATTTACCTTTTAAGTCTACTGAGAAATTCTAAGATACACAGACTAAAATTACTTTGCTTTTGATATCATCTTGCTCTTTAATTTTGTTACCAGCTCCTTCCTCCAAGGGCTACTCCATATTACTCTTTCAGGATAGTTCATTTTTATCTTTATAACAAAAATGAGCCTATTATTTTAAATGCCTCTAACACAACTTTATTATTTATATGGTGTTCAACATGAAATTATGTGTATGTGTGTGTGAGAGAGAGAGAGAGGGGGAAGAGAAAGAGAGAGAGACACAGAGAGAAACAGATAGAGAGAGCCTCTACAATATGTTTTTTTAAGGCATGAAAAATATTTTATACTATCCCATGCCACACACTGTCAATCAAACATATGAATTGAACTACATGAGGCTGAGCACTGGTTTTTGAAGACACTCAGTCAGAAAACCTAATGTTCTGGCAGGCTTCATTTAGTTTGACTAAGTGTGTGGAAGAATGTTCATTTTGTTTAGACCACAAATTCAAAGTGTATCCCTCTCCACATGATACAGGTGGGTCCCTGTATCGTTCCTTATGCCTCTGTTTCAAACAGAAAGGACAGTTCCCCAAGAAGTGAAGTGAATAGCAGCGATCAGAGAGTGTCCTGGCCGGCAGGCAGCATGTGGCTGACCACCAAGGTACCTAAGATTATCTGCTCTTGCCAAATGACTTTTTGTTTGCTGCCATGTTGGGTTGCTCCAGCCTTTGGGGGTCCTTTTGAAGATAAGTATTCAAACGAAAGCCTGTTAAACTGCTGACTATTAAAATGTTTTTTTTTCTGCTCTTGGTATTGTCTAGCGCAAAAGATCTATGTAGATGCTCACTGGGCATTCAGTACACTTTTAGATAGTCTGATTAGTTACTTCTCAGAGTATACTTAAAGCGAACACAGAGCTTTATGAGCCCCACAGACTGGTCATTTTCATGACAGGTGTCTTAGTCTTCACTGTTGATCTTTACCAGCTCAGCATCATTGGGACTGATAGATTAACACTGTGTTGTGACTTTTCATACCGTCTTTCCAGGGCACTTTTAAAAGAAAATTCTCAGCATAAGTGGGAACAGTTTATAGATCTGTGTAGAAAATACTTATTTTTTTCTTTATTCTTTTATAATTGGATATGACACATGAGGAAATAAAATTCTCTCTGACCCTATTGACTATTAAAATACACTTTTTTTAAAGTCAACTTTTAAAAAATAATTTATTTGATTTTTATTTTATGTGCATTAGGGTAAAGGTGTCAGATCCGTTACAGACAGTTGTGAGCTGTCATCTGGGTGCTGGGAATTGAACCTGGGTCCATTTGGAAGAGCAGCCGGGGCTCTTAACCACTGAGCCATCTCTCCAGCCCCTAAAGTACACTTTTTAATATTTTATCTTGTATCTGTCCTTTCATTTTCCTTTGCCACCATTTACAACAGGATGCTCTTCTGCTATCTAAACGTTTCTGGTTATGTGAAACCATCCAATTAAGTTTGATGACACTTAATTTGTGGTGATGGGGAAGGACATTGAAATTATGTCTCACATAAAGTCCTGGGTTGCCCTTGGTTATTTTATGATTCTCTGATAGACAAAAAGAAACATAAAATTGAGATATGAAGGCATTAAGACATAATGTTCATTTCAGATAATAAAGTAGAACCATCTCTGGTGAGACATTCTACTGTCCGTACCCAACCTTTAGACTCTGTTAACCACTTGTTCTTTCTACATTGTTGTCATTATTATATTAACATTTTATTTCTGTTGGTGTTAGAATATGACTGAGAAAGCAACAGGAAGAGGAGGGATTTGTGTTAGTTCATGGCTTTTCAGGTCCAGCCCATGGTCAGCTGGCCCCTTAGCTAAGACAAGACAGAACATCGTGATTGAAGGACAGCTGCTTGGCTCATTGCAGTCAGGAAAGAGAGACAGGAAGGGACCAGGGACTACACTTACCCTTCAAAAGCAAGTCTAAGGGAACTGCTTCTCCCCCTAAATTGTAGCTCCCAATGTCACATTAAACGATGAATCCGCCAATGGACTTATCCATAGGTTGGATCAGAATCTTTTGATCCAGTCACATTTCAGTAACTGGATCCCCAAGTGGGGACCAGGCCTTACACATGAGCCTTTTGACATTTCATATAAAATCCATAGCACTTCCATAGTTTAAGAAAAAAAATGGAAAAAAAAAAAAAAAGAAAGCATGGCTCGTAACAACAAGGGAAGGAAAGTTGGTCTATATAACTTTATAAATTAAGCTTTTCTTCTGGATTATAAGACCCTGCTTTGTATCCAATCAATCTGTGAATATGCAGGGAATATCTTACTCCCAGCCCTGCCACTGAATAGCTGGGTGGCTGCCACCTAGCTAATCACATCTGACATTTAGACTTAGGACTTCTTATTGTAAATGAGACATAATGGGAGGTCCTTTTCTAAATTCCATCTTCTGTAATTTCATAGTATTATGTCTAGAACTTCCCTGTACTGTACAACTATATAACATTTTCTTAAAATGATTAAAATTCTTGCCCAAAGGGTCCAGGTTTCCTAGAATCCCTTGTGAGATCTAGAGAAATTTATCTGGGTACACCAAGGCATAGTTTTTTACTTTAACTGTAAAATGGGGTTAGTTGTGCCTACCTTTCAGTTAAGTCAATGTAGAAATTAGGAAGGAAGCATGGTGTTGAAGCACAGCATCTGATATGAAGAATGCTCAACAATAGCTTTCTTTCCCTTTGGAAGTTTTTCCATTTTCTGTATAGACAAACACGTGTAACCACACAGAGATTGCACGTGCTTTATTTCAACCCAAATCATCTAGAGATAATTTTGCTGAGTCACCACATGTTTCTCTTTTACACAACAAAAATTGGAAGAAAGAAAAGTTGAATACAGGAAAGGAAACAACAAAACATAACAATGTACATAGATGCCTCTTCTTTCCCCCTTTTAACGAGTCTTTTTCTGTGCTATAAGACAAATTTGGAATTCCATAAAGCTCCAGTAGGTTTGCATAAATCTCTCAGCTGTTGAGACTCCTTTAAAAATGGACTAATTCACTAAGTTGGAAAATCATTAAACAGCCATTTACATAATATTTTCAGTTAATTTCCTTGGCAGAGAATTCTTGCATTTAAGACAAAGTGGTCATGGACCGCAGTACAGTTTTAACCCATGGTATTAAGACCCAGAGTAAAACTTTAAATTGATATGAAGGTTGAGGATTTGTTTCCATCCTCTCAGTTCACTGCACGTGTTTCCCTGTGCATACAGATTTCAAGTAAGCTCTGTAGTTATAACTCTAGCAAGTGACACGTGATGGACCCTAGTCACGACACTGTGAAATATGCACAGAAAAGGAGGACAAATGAAGATATCAAGGTCTGTTTTATTTTGCGCTCAACTGTAAAATGCCACCCTTGTAGGACAGAGGATCGCTGCTTCTGAGCAGGGCTCACTGACTGCTGAGTTGTGAGTAGTACTACACTTTGAGCCACTGTTAATATCCAGGGTTATCCAGGCATAATGACCTCACTATTTGTGACACGTTGTTGAATTTTCTGGTCCTTTTAACTTATTTAGACCTTTTTCTCCCTTCCCTTTCATTGGAAGACTGGGATGATCCTGAGCAGAACGATAACTCAGGGCTGCCTGGCTATTGGTCATTCAGTCGGAGTGAAGACCACCAAAGGAACATCACTGGAAGGATATAAATTACTGCTCCAAAAAAAAAATAAAAATAAAAAGGTAATGCTTATGAGCGATCTGGCTCAAAACAACAACTACTGACTTTGCAAATTCTAGGCAGGCATATTGAAATGCTTTTTTGGCTTATATAGAATAATCACGAAGCATTTAAATTTTACATTGTTACTATTTTATTCTAGAAGAACGATGAAAATCTATGCCACTTAGTTTGGTGGTATGCCAAAAAGAGAAATGTTAACTTCAGATGTATTTATTAGTCAACAAGCCATGGGAGCTTTACTCAGTGAGCGTCAGGATTCATTATTTTATGTCTATTTTTATTACAAATTAGAAAACTTTGATTAGCAACTGTGTTCTTAACCTTTACTTCATCTTTTTGAACATGGAACCTCAAACTGTGACAGTAAAATTATGGAGATGGAACAATGGTTGACTTGAAAAAGACTACAAGCAAGCTCTGTTTATCATATTATTTTCTTACAGACAATATGGTTAGAAAGTTTTTAAAAATAGAAGTTTAATCATTTAATTAAAAAATAACACTGAGGAGGAAAGCTGATTTACATCAGAAGTATTGTTTCTAAGTTTCTCTCTCTCTCTCTCTTTCTTTCTTTTATTTAGGACAAGATCTCTCTATCATCTAGCTCTGTTTGTCCTGGAACTCACTATGTAGACCAGGTTGGCTTCAAACTCACAGAGATCTTCCTGCCTCTGTCTCCTGAGTGCTGAGATTAAAGGCGTGCACCATCATCCCCAGCACCAATCACATTTGATTTAACTTAATATTGACAAGAAGAGGGCTTGTTGCATGTTAGTTCCTAGAGAGTCATAATTTAGATATTTTGGCTGGATAAGGATGCTCATAGAGATGAAGCCAGAATCACGATACTTTAGGCCTCAGGAGGCTGGCCCAGCTGTGAATACAGAAACTGCCACATGAAAAGCAGTCTGTCCAGCAAGAATAAAAATACCACACAGTCATTAGAAACACAATGTTCAGAGTCAGGTTCCCAGGTGTAAACCAGAGTTTCCTGCATGGCTCACTCTCACTATAACCGTGCACTTCTGCCCCAGATACTATTCTAACATCTCAGTATTGCATTGCTACATTTAAATCTCACTGCAGTCTGGTAAGGCAATTATCATGATTATCTGCACTGAAGTTCAGAGACAAATCATTGTTCAAGGTCATCCCTATCATGTGGCTGCACAGGAAAACAAACTCAAGCAGCCAGCATCTAACCTCAAAATGGATTTTTAGTCATGACACTAAACTGTTTAATAGTAGAAGGTCAAATCGAACAATTGACAGCGAGTTTTAATGTAGAAACAGAACACCTTAGTGCTTGAGGAGAGGAAAAGGCACGCAGGAAAAAGAAATAGGTTTTTTTTTAAATCATTCATTTTTTTTTTCATAATGAGATTTCTTTAATTTGCATTTTGTCAGGCCAATCGCTTTTCTCTTTTAGCTTTTGCAGCTATGTCTTACATTATAACGAAGCTTGATTGATTTAAATTCTGTCTCTGTCTCCACCGCGCTGGGAGCACACGTACGCATCATGATGCCTGCCTTTTTACGTAGGTGTTAGGGATCAAATTTGAGTCCTCATGGTTGCATGGAAGCAGTTTACTAACTGAGCCATCTTCCTAGCTATGCGAAGATATTCTTTTCTTCTTCTGTGGAAATGTTTAGATGTGCACAGTGCATTTTAATTTTATCTCCCCCCCCAGTCTTTTCCTCCAATTCCATCCTCCTCTCTTTCCCAAATGAATTTCCTATCTCGTTAGCCCTATTTTTTTTTTTTTTTGATAACTCATTGAGGCCAATCAGTGCTGTCTATGTGTGCTTGACTGTGGGTCAGCCTGTCAGCTGACAACCTGTCAGTGGCCACCCCTTAAAGAAAAATGACCCTTTTTCACGTAGTCACCATCAACTGTCAACATCTCTTCAAGTAGGGAGAGTGGTCTCCGTGCTGGCATTTGTGACTGGCTTGATCTTGAGGTAACCACAGAAGTTCTGAGTTCATGTGTGTGTCAGCCATGTATATCCAGAGGATGGTCTTTCCTTTCAGAAAATCCTCTGGCTTTTCTATTCTTTCTGTCTCCTCTTATACCATAATTTTGAGCATTAGTGCGTGGATGTTTCTATAGATATTCCTTCTGTGTCCAGACATGCACAGCTGCTTATTCTCAGCACTTTGAACAGTTTATGAATCTCTGTTTTAACCACTGCAAGAAGAAGCATCTCTCCCCAACGCTGAGAACTGCACAAATAAAAGCATAAATATTTAGAAGGCAATTTGATAGCATGATTACTTAGCGAAGCACCATTAAAGGAATTCCCCTTGGGCCTGTGACTTTCCTAGCCAGGGTTTTTGACCATGTTTACAGCAGAAGGGATGAACTCCCTCTAACTGAACAGACCTCACATTCAATCAAGAGTGGTTGGTTACCCATACAGTCTTGTCACTATTGTACCAGTGAATATAACTTTCCTGGTAGGTCTTATTTGAAGCATTTATAATCCAGCATTATGTACGACCATGACCATTGGAATCTTTTCTCCTACAGTACAAGTCTAGCACCTTTCAACACCATGAAAGCTATACAGGAGGGAGAGAGTTTCCTGATTAAAGGAGATTGAACTCTCTGTGTCTGCATCCCTGAAGACATTCTTGTTAAGGGAACTGCATAGCAATTAGAATAGTCTATATTCTAGCAATAAAGCAAATCTCAACAAATATAACAGAATTCAACTAAGATAAAATTTATTCTTTGACCATAATAGGGTTAACTTATAAGTCAATAGCAGAAAGGCTAGCAATTAGCTCAATGGTAGGTTGTATAGATTGAATCCCTAGCATATATTCAAAGAAGAAAAAAGAAAAGAACTCAATAGCAGAAAGATTTCTGAGACACCCCCAAATACTTGGACATAAAATAAAACTTTTCTAAGTACTCCAAGCATCAAAGGCAGCATTAACATGTAAATTTTTGATAGGTATTTTGAACTTATTGAAAATAAAACACAAAGGTGGGCCTACAATGAAGCGCTATCATGAATCTAATAGCATATCTAACATTTAAAAGACTGAATTAGAGTATTAATGAATAAGGCTCTTACCATCGTTAGGTGATAGAAACAGAAAAGAATATGAGCAGTTTGAGAGCTAGCAGTTATATTTTACAGAATGCAAACATTTCTCTACTCCATGGCCTAGCTATCCTACTCTGAGGAATTTACCCAAAGGGGGAAAAAAAAAAAGTATGTGTTCCTACAAAGACTTGTACATGGATGTTCACAACAGCTTTACTCCAAAAGATGGTAACTACAGATAACCTAAAGGAATATCTACATGGGAAAGATAAACAAATTATCTTTTCCAAAGAATGATGCCCATCGATAAAGAGAATCAATTCTTGGTTATGCAACACTAGGGATAGGATCTCAAAGGAATTATGCTAACAAAAAGCAAAAATTGCCCATACTGCTTAACTTCATTCACATGCAATTTAAATAAATGCTCAAGAATCTAGAATGATAAAATGCAGGTCAGTGGCTGACTAGAGATAAGGGAGTAGGGAGAGACAGCAGGACGGATTTTCAAAGACTAGAGCTGGAGAGTTGGTTGCTTTTCAGGAAGCCCTAGATTTAATTTCCAGCACCCACATGACAGCTCACAATTGCCTGTAACTTCAGTTTCCAGGGGATGCGGTGCCCTCTTCTGGCCTCGGTGGGCACTGTGGGCTCATGGAACATAGACATATATATAAAACAATAATATAAAATAACAATAAAATAATAAATATAAAATAATAATAATAAAAAGTTTTCAAAGATGTGCTAGGAAACTTTAGGGGTGATTTCTGGGAAGGGGTGAAAGACATAGAAATGTTCATTATTATGACTGACATAATGCTTTCAAAGGTATTTACATATTTCAAATATTTGATATTTTAATCTTTAACTACATGCCTGTCAATCATACAGTTGACATATTCTAGGAAAATTGTTTCCAAACAAAGCTGCTTGAAAAAGAAAACCTAAAATTCAAGCTAACAAAATAAACAAAAATTGAAAATAAGTAGAGGTAAGTGAGTTATCATTATGTTGAAGAAAGAAAGAGCAAGAACATGAAAGAGAGAGAGCACGAGAGAGTGAGAGCGAGGGAGAAAAAGAGAGGAAGACAGAATGAAAGCGAGACAGAGGCGGAAAAAGACAGAGAGACAGAGAGATCTGACTGACAGCCACGGTCTGAACAACAGCTGTTTGGGAGGTTCCTGTCTGATGCCCAGGATTCTGCCTGGTTACTGTGGACTGTGAAAACAGAGCATCATCTGACTGATTGATCTGAGCCTACCCAGGTCTCCTTCCTGCTATGGTCAGGATGGTGAGACAGTGGAGCCGAAGGTCAGAGGAGACGTCAGTTTATAAAAACTGAAGCAAATTTGGAGAGGTAGAAACAGGAGGATCAGAAATTCAAGGTCATCCTCCAGGACATAGTGAGCTTGAGGTCAGTCTAAGATATATTAGATCCTGTCATTGAAACAGAACTGCTGTTTACAAGAATGATTTTATAATCTAGAAGAGAATGAAGAACAAGAAGGAGGGAGGGTGGGACAAGAGTAGATAATTAGGAGGAAGGAAGGATCTTACGCACAAAAGAATACCATTTGCCTTTTTACTGACTCAATTTGGAAACTGGGTGAGGAGCAATTGGACAAATCTGTTTCAAGGTCAGAATAGCAGTACATTTGTAAAACTCCAAAGTATATATTTTTAAAAATATCAATAGGCCCAAGATATTTGGAGGTTACCTTATACATGCCTATGTGTGTGTGTGTGTGGGGGGGGTTGTATATATATATATTTTTTTTTTTTCCAAATACATCTTTACCCAAGAATCTAAAGTACCTCTTTGACTTACATTCTGAGGCACTCACAGTTCATTATGAATAACAATAAATATCTTGTGACAACCACTCCCAGAGACAAGTTTTTTTTCGCTTCCTCTCCTATGAAGTC